CAAATACAGAACTCTAAATGGCTGTTTGGAAGATAATGTAAATGTGGCTTAATTTCTTCTCCATGACAATCGGTTGTCAGAAAGGCGTTTCTGCTTCTCCGTAAGTGCCACCTATTGTTAGAAAGTGACTTGCATTTTCATTCGGTCCGTCTACTGTTTTTTTTTTTTTAAATTTTTTTTTTTTACACGTTGGTCTGAACGGACAAAATAGTATGCAAAAACGTGATCAAATTTTTGTGCTGAACATTTGTGTTGGTGTGAACAAGCCTTAAATGTTGCCAGTGAATTAATGTATTAATATACCCATTCTGTTTTTTTCTGTTCCAGATGTTTGTTTACACCTCTGCAAAAAAGGAATACGCAGAGAAGATTGTAGATATATTGGACCCTAATAAAAAGCTCTTTAGGTGAGAGACATGTTGAATCCCATATACCCTAAATTGTCAGGAAAATGCTTCTCAGCTGGGCATCCGCAAACCTGCCTCATAACGCTTAAATTTTCATTGACCTGAGAGCCAAACGATGGTCCAACTGACGTCAACGTTACATCATCTGATCAAATGCTTCACACATCTTTCAGCGTCATTATAGTTAACTAAGACTGAAAGTAAAATGAAAACCATTAAAAAAACTTTTATATAGAATTAATCATTTAGTTCAGCTGGAAAATGTATGCTTACAATTCTAAACTGAAAACCTCTGCTCTCCTGAGTAATGACCATATCCCAAATATAAAAACTCAAAATGTAATTTCCATATCTAAAATACATATTTTATATATATACATTAATTTATCATAAACACCGCTCAAAGGCTTCCTACCAGTAGCCCTCCTTCTCAAAACTTAACATTTAGCACAGTTTTATCATAGGTAGAATGCAGAATATTTCAATGCGAGCATTTCAGTAAAATTTAATTTATGCAATATTTCAAACATTTAACCCAGAAGGAAAAATCAACCCGCGGCAACAGTTTAAAAGTAAACCCGAAAAGTAATCCAGCATCCAACACAAGCCAAGAGTAAGGAGAGATGACTGTGACCATGCTGGAGGATTTGCTGCTCAACAGATCCTGAGCTCACTGACAGATATCTGATCTTGTAAGATGTGCTCCCTTTACGCAGAGTACGCGTGATTGCGAAATCGAAAGTGGAAGTGAACAGCGTTCAATACCACGCACAATGATAGCGACTCCCTGATGCGTTAAAATTATATACAGTATTAATATGTTTGAGGGTGCAGGTGGGATTGGAACACAAACATGGCAGTGGGGCGGGATTAAGAAAACCATTCCTGCACAGAGCTGACAAGGCACCAGTTCTCATTTTAATTTAGTGTAACTAAAATGTGCTAAAATTAGGCTGTTTAAGCTCCCAAAAATAAAGAATTATTAGAAGCTATTATTTTTTTTGTTGTTGTTTACAGGTCACAAACTTTGCTTTGATGAAAGTATGAATATGTAATGATGTGGCTTTCTTTGTTTTAAAGGCATCGTTTGTATCAGGACGATTGTGCCTGTGTGCTTGGACACTACATTAAAGACTTGACCATTCTGGAGAGAGACCTGTCGAAGACGGTCATCCTGGACAATGCCCCACACACCTTCCCATATCACGTACACTTGTCTTTACCTTTTCTATGTAAATGGATTCGTTAAAGGGGTCATATGACGTTGCTAAAAAGAACATTATTTTGTGTATTTAGTGTAATGCAATGTGTTTATGCGGTTTAAGGTTAAAAAAACACATTATTTTCCACATACTGTACATTATTGTTTCTCCTCTATGCCCCGCCTTTCTGAAACTCATCGATTTTTACAAAGCTCATCGGTCTGAAAAGCAAGGTGTGCTGTGATTGGCCAGCTATCCAGTGCGTTGTGATTGGCCGAATACCTCAAGCGTGTGACGGAAATGTTACGCCCCTACCATAATGTGATGCCGTGTTCTGGCGCGAGGAGACAAAACCAATAACATTGAACATTTGGGCGGTGTTATGCAAATCTTCCCACATAGTGACGTAGATATGTGGGGGTGTTTAAACGAGGTGTTTTAGGAGGGCGTGGACAAGTCTTAACTTTTATAAAGAATATCTCTTTGGGTTTGAGACTTTAGTCTTTGCAACTTTAGGGATCTTATCTATTCACGAACAGCTTGTAACACTCCAAAGAGAAAGGAAAACTTGAAATTGCATCATATGACCCCTTTAAACATCAGGTCTAACCAGTATATAAGTGCTATGTTCTTATTGGATCGGTGTTTGTTCTTTCTAGCTGATGAATATGATTCCCATAAAAAGCTGGATTGGAAATCAAGAGGACCGTGAGCTGCAAAAGCTCATTCCGTACATGGAGAAACTAGTGCATGCGGTGAGTGTTTTTAGCCATCAACATCTATGCAATTATTTTTTACATTTATATTATGATTATATAGCATAAAACATACTACTATTATTATTATTAGTAGTAGAAGTAGTAGTATTATTTTAAATTAACTCCAAATTTCCTACCCAGTTCAAAACGGCTATTTATTGAAACTAATAATGTAACTAGTAAAGTAGAGAAAACAGGCTAGATACTACTATCGTTCCTAAACAATAATGATTTAAGAGTTAAATATGGGGAAATTACCTGTATATAGAGAGAAATTATTTTAATTAAAACAAGTACTTCGAACTGTGTTGAGTATTATTTATTAAAGTGCCCCTATTATGGGTAATGAAAGGTTCATATTTTGGTTTTGGGAGTCCCCAACAACAGGTTGGCATGCATGCAAGGTCAAAAAACACTTTCATTGTCTTATAATATGCATTTATTTTTACCTTACTTGCTCAACGACTCCCAAACGATTCGCTCAACGATTCATTTTTCAAAACCCCTCCTTTGCGTGACGCTAATCTGTGCTGATTGGTCTCATTTTCATTTCATCATGTCTGTAATGCCTGATAAAGCAGGTTTGTGAGCGCAGTGCTGCTTTGTGTACAGCGTTACCGGGGAAACAGCTATTTTTACCGCTCCAAAAGCTGCACCTAGTGGCAAAGAATGAATTTGCGTTTTCATTCAGACCAATACGAAAAGACCAAAAGTGGGCGAGGAATATGCTAATGTTTCATGTTGATGTCAACATGTAACTGCTTGGGATTCGTTTTAAAAACGACTCGTTTCAATGACTCAGAGTCGACTCTTTCTTTTGAGAGACAATAACTTTATACACGGTGCACTTTCAGATTTAAAACTTTGCAGGATGTTTTCATTCACTTAGAGCTGCGTTACACACTGCATGAAAGGTGATTTTAAAAAATCCATAATAGGGGCACTTTTTAAATTACAAGTAGTCATTTTTAGTAATGGTTAACTTGTTTTTTTGTGTGTGTGTTTCTAGGATGACATCAGAAATGTTTTAAAGAAGAGAACCGATCACTTCCACAGGCTGCTTTCTGAAGACTAATCCCTGTATTAAATGTAAATAAATGTAAAGCCATGCTTGTAAATGCCAGTGAAATTCCTATGCTCCATACTGCATACAAGGCCAAATGTGTAGTATGATTTTATATTAGAGAATAGTCTTAACAGTTCACCTGTAATCATCCTGGTCCGCTCGCAGTGTTTTCAGCTTACCTTTAATTTATTGATAAACCTTGAGTTATTTGTACAGGTTTGTGCCATTGGAAGAATGCTTTCACACTTTAATCTGTTAAAATTCATTTCAATATGTATTCTACTCAGAATTCTATTTCTAAAGGATGCTTAGGCCAGTTTTCAGTAACCAATAAAGTAAGAAGAAAATAAAACATTTGCGTTTCTGAAAACTTCTGAATCTGAAAAACAGACACGGATAACACTTTAATTTGTTTGGTTTGCTAAGAAAAGGTGTGCTATCACTTTTAAGAAAGTCTTAAAGTCATGCCATTAAATGTTGCATATCTACACAAAATTTTACTTTTCTAATACAAATATCTAAACATCTCTAAATGAAGATATATTTACTTGAGATGCAAATTGTAAATTCTGGCAATGTTCACTGAAAAACAGGCGTTTAAGCTCAGATCAATGAGGCCTACAGCCAATCAGTTCCAACACAAAATACAAAGCCTGTGCTAATTCTGAAAGAAAACAAGTTGACAGAAAGACTGAATCCAAGAGCGTAATGAGAGATTTACAATCATTTTTTGTAGGCTGGTCGGAAACACCAAATTAGGTAAAGGGTTTTCAGCACAGCACAAAGGTTAAATCTGTTAAAACCGAGTTAAATTGGTGTACTGATTCACTTTAGTTAAATCACATCCCAGGCTAAACTAAATTAAAATGGGGAACAAATTAGTACAACATGGCCACGATTTAGCTAAAAGGAAGGAAAGATTTTAATAGGTTGTGGGAATTATTATTATTATTAATTTGTGAACACAGTATCTAATTATTTACCTTTAGTACCATTTGAAAGGGTTCTGCCCTAATGACAGCTTTTGCACCTTTTTTCTAAGTGTATGGCAAGATATATCTGTTCTCAAACCCACAATCTCAGCAATGATTACGGTATAGCAGCCATAATTACTTCCAAGCCGATGAACCTGTAATTTACTGAATGCAGACTGATGTTAAAATTGTTCTTTGAAAAGACTAGTTTAATATGGACCAGCTTTCAGCTCTTCAAAATAAATACAGTAAAATGAGACATAAGCCTATGCTGACAACTTTGTCAATGAATGGACATTTCTGTTGCAATTTTAGTGTAATTATAGAATTTAGTTACAAAAATAATTATATATAAAAAGAAAAAGGAAAGTAGAAAATAAGTAATTTTTGTGGATTTTAACAAACCATTCGTCACTAATTATATTGATCAGAGGGACTAATGATACGTTTTAGGTTAATCTGACGAATAAATTTATTTTATTTTGTAAAATTTCTTATGTAATGTGAATAGCTTAAATGCAAGCGCTCTATGTTTGTATTGGATTTTGTTTAAAATATTTTTGAGCGCGGTATTATCAACGGACTTTTATACACACAAGGAGTCGCTGCGCCACCGGAAGTAGATGTTAGGCAAACATGGCGGCGTTGATGGGTGAGTAAACGAGCGCTAGGCGATTAAAAATCTCTGGATGGTGCAGTATTGCTATTACTGCATGATATATGGGTGGAATGCATTAGATGTAACTAAACTACATCGCCTCTTCTGTTGTTGAAGGAATTACTTCGTGCTATGAAGGACTTTGCTCGCTGACCTTGTTACTCAACATGATTGATCTGAGTCTCGCCGCTAGATGCAAACAACTCGCATTATTTACAGAATAAAGTTGTGCAAAAATATGTTTTATGTATGTCTTTCAAAGTCAAAAAGCCACTCAGACAGTCGATGTGCAGTGATTTTTGTAAATCAATGTTAGAAAGTTGATACCTAATACCTTAATAAACCCTTAATGACGCAGAAGTTTAAAAAATGAATTGAGCGGATTATTTATTGCAGTTTTAAAAAATGTCTACTCAACCACATACTGAGCATTGATTTAAGCACAGTAATTATTGTAATGTTTGTAAGTATAGTTATGGTTTCATTTATTTTTTTGCGCTGATATGTGCAAATTTGTTTTTGCCGTTGTTTATAATTTGAGATTGAAACACTACTACACAGACAGCTATGGTATATATATATATATATATACACACACACACACATGTAACTTTTAATAACGTGTTATTTCAGTTCCCCGTCTTCCCGCCCTTGGCTCTTTTAATCTAAGGTAAATTTTGAATTGGTTTTAAGAATTTTATTTAATTCAGTCATTCTTGAGAAGTGGGACAAAACAGGGTGCAAAATTAATGAGAAAATTAAATTGAAGGTGATAATTGTGTTAAATACATTCTATTATTAATCCCTCATGACATTTAAAATTGAAAATATTTTTATTTTTAAACCTAATAGCAGTTACCCTTGCTGGACCTGTTTTGTCCCATGTCTCAAGAATGACTTGGTGTATTTTTTCCTTATATTTTGCAAATTTTGTAAAATGTCGTTATTCATTTTTTTTTAAACTTGATATTGTGTTTGTAATGTAGGGCCATTTCATCGTTTTCTGCTCATAAGAAGGTTCCTTTGACAGGCAAAAAGGATGAAAACACCTCAAGGTGCGAAGTGGATGTTTTTTAATGGTTGTATGTTATAAAATAACTCTCATACTGAGTAGTAATTATTAACTGAGCATACCCTTCTTTCCAGTCTGGTCCCGTTCAGAGAGAAAAGCACAGCTCTGGCCCCAAAACCAGCTTCAGTGGTCAGCAGCAAGGGTGAATATATCATCACCAAGCTGGACGATCTGGTCAACTGGGCACGCAGAGTACGTCACTCTTTACATGTTTCGTAAAGACATCAAATACACTGTCATTCAAAAGTTTGGCGTCAGTAGATGTTTTTCCAGTGTTTTAAAAAAAAGTCTCTTCTGCTCACCAAGGTTGCATTTATGTGATCAAAAATAGTCTAAAAATTGTTAAATATTATTGTCATTTAAAATAACTCTTTTGTATTTGAATGTATTTTAAAGTGTAATTTAGTCCTATGATAACAAGCTGAATTTTCAGCATCATTACTCCAGTCTTCAGTGTCACGTGATCCTTCAGAAATCATTCTAATATGATGATTTGCTGCTCAAGAAACATTTCTGATTATTATTAATGTTAAAAAAGTTGTGCTGCTTCATATTTTAGTGGAAACCACAATACTTTTCAACATTATTATAAGAATTCAAAAGAACAACATTTATTCCAAATAGAAATCTTTCGTAACGTTATGTCTCTACCGTCACTTTTGATCAATGTAATGCATCCTTGCTGAATAAAATTGTTCATTTCTTAAAAAAAATTAACTGACCCTAAAAAACCAGAATGTAGCGTATCATTTTTTTCCTGTAAAAATGAGGGGAAAGTTAAAAATGTAACACGTTTGTATTTCAGAGCTCCCTATGGCCCATGACCTTTGGCCTGGCATGTTGTGCTGTGGAGATGATGCACATGGCGGCTCCTCGTTACGACATGGATCGGTTCGGTGTCGTGTTCAGAGCCAGTCCCAGACAGGCTGATGTCATGATAGTCGCAGGGACATTAACCAACAAAATGGCTCCTGCACTGCGTAAGGTAATTGCACCATATCAATAATAATAAACTCACCTTTAATATAAAGGTTTAAAAGAACAGTTCACCCAAAAATGAAAATTGTCATCATTTACTGATCCTCAAGTCGTTCCAAACCTGTATGATTTTCTTTCTTCTGCTGAACACACAGGAAGATATTTTGAAGAATGACCCACACCTAAACGTTTTTTTCTATACTATGGAAGTCAATGGCTGCTTTGTTACCAACATTCTTTAAAATATCATCTTTTGTCTTCACAAGAAGAAAGAAACTCATACATGTTTGAAACGACATCAGGGTGAGTAAATGATGACAGATTTTTTTTTTTGTGAACTATCCCTTTAATATTTCTGTTTATGCTTCAGTGTAATAATGTTCTGCATGAATGTCTTGTTAATGGCAGGTGTATGACCAAATGCCAGAGCCCAGATACGTCATTTCAATGGGAAGGTGAGAAATGCAAATAAGCTGATCAGGACAAACTAGTTCATTTGTATCATACTTCATTATGTTTTGTCTTGTTTCTCTCTTCCTGGTAGCTGTGCTAACGGCGGTGGCTACTATCACTACTCTTATTCAGTGGTCCGGGGTTGTGATCGCATCGTTCCAGTGGACATCTACGTCCCAGGTGTGTTTCATTTAAACAAGCTATAACATGTTCTGTGTGTCTCTGTGTGAATGAGTGGTGCGGTTTCGTCTGCTACACGCATGACGCTCGCAGTGTTTTCAGCGTCTGTGTCTCAATATATGAGATGTGAACAAGAGAACTTCATCTCCAGAGCTGCTATGAGAGTCACTTTCATTTGAGAAAAACTACTGTCAAACATCTTCACGACAGACCGCCAAAATAAAAGTTCCGTTCAACTTGAAAAAAATCTGACACAAATGTATTACTACTGTAGACTTCTCAAAGTATTATTATTTTAAAAAAATATTATACAACCAAGACAGTACTTCATCCATGATTTAATTAATGCAGTTCTGTTGTACAGCAGTACGTTTTATTGTAAATTAATTAGTAATTTGATTACATTTTAAAAGTTATTTAAATAGTTGCAATCTTAGTAATTCATTTCATTAGACACCATTTTTGATGATCATAGATTTGTATTAAATAATAAAACGGAATAAATTAATGGAAAACACAGAATTTAGAGGAAAATAAAAAGGATTTCTTGGGGCCCTAAATTAAAAACTCTGTGGAGTTTGTGTTTGTTTATTCTCAAAGTTTAACAAACCTGTGGAAAGCATTTCCATCCCCATTGGAAAGCAATATTGTGGTCAATATTAAGGAAGCCTGTTTCCGCCACTGAATAAAAAATAAAGGTAATTGCGACTTTCATCTCACAATTCAGACCTTTTTTCTTGCAATTGCGAGTTTACATCTCGCAATTCTGACTTCTTGATTGTGAGTTATAAAGTCAGGGTTGTGAGACATAAACTCGCAATTTTGACTTCTTTTCTCAGAATTGAGAGAGTTAAACTTGAAATTGCAAATTATAAAGT